CAATTTATTAGTAACTAACAGTTACTGCAGGGCTTACGGTCACGCTTTCTCTTCGTTCCGCCTCTTTCGTTCGTTTCTTGTCTTTTGTGCTTCATCTTTTATTACCGGCTCTATCATGTCGTAACTTATTTTCCAAGTAATATCACGCCACCTTTGCCTGTTAACATATCACACTCGCAAAAAGGCTCTCACAGTAACGGGTTGTGTTCGCTTCGTTACTTATTTGTCTTTATTTATTTAGTACTTATAGATACAAACGACTGGTGTTTCGGTCAAAAGTGAATTTGGGCATAGAGAGAGAGGGCTTCAAATTTACCACCGCCAAGCCATCATGTTTATGGAAGTCTGTACTAACTGTTCGTCAGTCTATCCTGTTTTTTTTTAGAGATAATACGTGACGTTCACACGTAGTCGTCGAGCAGTGCCGGTCATTGTTTGCTCTTTGTCGATTTGTTTATGTTTTCTCTTCGTTTGTCGGTATCTTCAGCGGCGTGATTTGGTCAGTGGACGGCGCTGTTTGTGACGAAGTCTTCGAGAAGAGGCACGCTAGCATGAAAAAAGCCAGCGCGAATGTCTTCACGATAATCATCAAATTGAACACGTTTATGGCAAGACGTGAGTTTTCGTAGATCACGCAATTGCCTGTCGCTCCTGAGCCACCACATGGCTTCTGTTTGAATAGGACACAACTAGAATCGACGACCTTACCGAACAGTAACGGGCCGGGTATAGTGCCGAAGAGTCGAAGTGACACGTAGTTAATACCGAGGGCTAGTGTTTTCGAGTCCTCAGGCACCGATTTCATCATGGACAAAAGCGACGGGGTGGCTACGAGGAATATAAAAAATAAATATATGAACATTGCCACACAGAATATATACAAAACAGAGCAGGGCTTCGGCTCGCACGGCCGTGTGAGGCCTTGACCAGCTTCCAATTCAATATCGTCGAGCTTGCTTGTACGATTGAGTATGCACGAACAGTTCGAGTAAATGACATGGCCGACAGTTTCCATCCGGCTGTCGCTGCAGCCCGCGTGACATGGAGAGTAATAGTTGACGCCGTCGGCGCCACAAGTTGGCTCGAACGTATTGTGAGTGCAACGACACATCGAATTGCAATCCATCAGTAAGTCGGTATTCGTGAAGTTGGCATATAAAGGTCGAAGACCTCGACGCGTCATATACTCGCGAGGTGGACACGAGTCTCGGAAAGCAAATGTCGCAATGAACGGTATACACGCGATTAGCGTACATATGCGTATGACGACGGCTGGTCGTGCATTCATTTTTCGCGTCAGGTATCCTCCTAGGATGGTACCGCCGAACGCGCTTGGTACGGCTACAACGCCGAGGACTGCCGCGGCACTGTGGCCCGTCATACTGAATAGTGTCATAAACAATTTTACGCCAAAGCTCAAATAGCCAGTCGCCACGAACGTCTCGCTGGCGGCCGCTAGCGATAACGTGATAAATATCGGATTTGTTAATAGGAATTTCATGTACTGAAGAAACGTTTTGTCCAATTTCTCGTTCGAGGTATCAGACTTCTTACTTGAAGGGGAACCATGAATGGTTGCCGTTTTCAACGGGTCCATGATTTTCGGGAATAATGCCATTGGGAGCGTGAGACCTATGCAAATAATACCGGCAATCAGGTATCCAATCCACCAGTTGCCAACCCATGTTTCGCTGCGGGCCAATGCCCCCGACGAGAAACTGCTAATATCATGAAGATTTTCCGGAAGTGAGGAGAAATACCCGCCTAGCATAACACCGCACGCAGGACCTAAAATCGCTGTTGCGTAAAACGTAGCAATATACAGTCCCGAACGTTCGGCAGGCGTGTTATCGTCCAGGTACGCTACGCCGATGGTATAAAATGGCGATGAGCCCATCCCGTGCAGGATGTTCGCAATAATAAATATCCATTTGTAATTCTCTAAATTGGTTTCGCTTTGCCGGCACGCTGAAGACTCAAATCCACACATCAATGACGAATGGCTGCCCCCATTGTGTTCATGAGCAGGGGCAATCCAATGTGGAAGCGTAAATAGAAAGTATGAGACAGTATTTATTAGTCCGCCAAGGGCGAGCACACGGGGTCGGTGACTCTCTGCTAGTAGATAACTCACTGGAGTGATGCAGGCGAACGAGGCAATATTGTAACCCGCATAGACGAGACCAATATCCACCGATTTGAGTTCGAATCGCCGTTCGATATGCGCCGATACCGACGTCGTGATGCCGTTGTTGATGAAGCCCTGTATATAGCCCATGCTACAGAAGACAAACAAAAACCACTCGACGGTTTTAAACCGCTGCAGCCACCGCAGGCGAAAACCAAGGATGCCGCACATTTCATCTTGTTCACCCAGAGACGCGATGGTCGCTCGTCGACCATTATGCATACGGAATTTCGGCAAAGAGATGCCGAACGCCGACAGATGTGCTGACTCCTTAGAGGACTCCTTTCCATTGCTAATTCCTATTGCTCCTCCAGTTCCAGGACCTCCAAGTTTTGTGTCCTTTGTGATTATCGCCAAATCAGTCGTGTTGGTCGCCGGTGGCTCACCATTGGCCTGCCCATTCATTGTGGCCTGCCGTCAAGACAAAGACACTGCACTCTGCGTCACCGAACGCGGCGATCGCGGGGTTGCTGAGCTCGGTTGGTCCTGGCACATCCTTCTTCAGTGTTGAGCGTACCAGGCGTCGAAGGCAGCCTGTGCTGGCGATAAATGCAGAGGCAAGGCTGGTAGTCGTTATTACCTCTGCCCTTCAAACCAGCGTGCCCGGTTACTCCAGGACGGCGGTAAGGCTCCACTGGCTCCAGCCATGCATGACGGCCTCAACGAACGTCGCCGCCTGCAAAATGGAGTCAACAAGATCCACCAAGTTAACGCTAGCAATCTCTTCTTGCAATAAAAAAAAAATGGTAATGGACATCGATCTAACAAAGTGGAACGTCCAGTAATCAAAGCTGGACGGCTGCGTTAGGCCTGCGTGAATATTTATAAACTCAGCGATAGTCGATAAACCGTATCCGACCGGTCGGATGGCTTTACAATGCTCGAAATAAATAACAATTTAAAATGAGAAAACCGTCGAAGGCTATCAGCGAGTCCGTTTTTATTAATAAACCATAGACTACTTAGTTGTAAAAGTTCCGTCAAGATTCTCGCAGTCACTCGTTGGTGTCGGAAGCGCCTAAAGGCGCAAAGTAGTGTGGATCAACAAGTGTTCAAATGAAACGCTTCGATCCGCCGTAATCCGCCATAATTTTCTGTGCTCACTATACCCCAATCAGAGTCAACAAATGAACACATCGACATGCCACGTTAGTTTCGCATTCATCACCTATCCTGTACCGTACGGTTCTGCCGAGATTGCATATCCATTTCTCAACGTGCGGTGACCGATACGACACCAATCAATTTATTGTGCTGGCTTTTCATTCTGTCTTCATTAGTAATATCATCCCTCAGCCCACTCGTCTCGATGCACTCGGATTGTTACTGTCTGTTTTGAACATAGCCCTATGAGTTATTACAATGAGTCGACTGACTAACTGACCCGCATGAGGTGAGGTGGATATGAACGATAGATACATTTGTGGCCTACCTACAAACAAAGGCAAATTTACGCAAGGTCATCATGATATCCTAATACCTGCTGACAGACGCTACTGATGATCAGCCTTAAGGAAAATTCTTCCATTAATGAAAGCCATCCCATTGCAAAAATCCAAGACGTTCTCTACCGCTCCGATCCTCCACGCCAGCAACTACTAATATCGAACGACATTGTCACCCAATCAATATTAAGGCTAACCGGCTTTCCTTAAGACATTCTCTTGCCTATAACACCGGGCAAGAGAATATCCACAATCGTTTTGTTGCTGCATATAGAAGTACGGCCTGATCCAATCATTCGTAACTAAAATGCCAGCAAAACGCGCACCGATATTGTTTTTTGTCACCGACGCCCTTGTTGACGGTGTGCATCGAGCTGTGATGACTGAAAGAATTTGGTCAGTGGACACCGACGTTTACCACAGCGCCTTTTTGCCAGGTGGGCTATGCGACCACGGCATCGCGACTTGGCCCGTCGCGCCCAATACATGCTAGTGGCTAGTGAAGCAACATCCGGAAGCGAATCGAGTCGAAGGCGAGTGTGATCTCGCTTCAAGCCGATGAAAAAGACCAGTTGTCTTCATTTGGTCTCTCTGTTTAAATTTGATAAACTTCACAGAGAGCGAATTGAAACGGTTGAAGGATGGTGAAGTTCGTAGGAGCTCGATTTATGCAAGCGCGGGGAATCTAATTGTCATCTGGCTACATAGATCAAGATTAGGAGGAAAGAAGGAAGACAAAAAAAAAGACGACGTAAAGGACCGGAATGATATAGGATGAAAGGGGAGATCATTTTGGAGAGGATAAAGCAATGACCTTATCCAAAAGGAAGTCCCACGCGACGCAATGTTTACTTTGGTGACTGTTGGCACAAATGCGCGGTCTGTTAATCTGTGACAATGTGAGCAGCTCGTATGTTTATTTCTCGTACTGGCGACGTATTGGATGCGTGTCCGGTGCTTTATTTTGCTTGCTGTTTGGCTTTGTTTTTTCTGCCGATTTCGACAAACAGTATTATAGTATCTTAGTCAGCATAGTAAACGAAACTATGGTACATATAATCCCGCCCTTCTATCAGCATCGCTTGCTTCTACTATCCATCTGATTTCAGCATACCTCGAAAGCTGTGACTTTCCAGTTTTGTCTACAAATAACATAATTTCTGTAGCAACTGTCATGGCCCATTGTAGCCGGTGAATAATTTGCCATAGACGCGCGCTCATTTGTTTTATCTATCTTCTCTGACGAGAAAGGTCTGCTTAGCGCTCAATACTTCGCACGGGCACTTCCAGCGTTTGGCATCTGACTTGGTGTTCTAGCAAAAAAACATTTATTCACTCGTATAGCGCATAGGCGGTCGTAAGAGAAATCAGAATATTAAAACAAGTTGGAAGGGTAGATAGCTGAACAGGCAGACTCATCGGTTAGCGCAACAACTTGTGCAGGTTCATTTCTCTCTGTTCAGAATTCATTGAACCACCTTATTAAAAAGAGGGTTCGTCATCTATTGATTTTATGGTGTTCAAACGAAACAGAGCCTTGGCCAAGTTCAGCGCCATCGTGAGGCATTGTTACAGAGCTAACTGGTTGTGGTGGGTCGACATTTAGCGAAGGGCGTAAAACTTCACGGAGAGTGAATTATACCGTCCAAGCTATTAGGGGTAAACGAGCTGCTTTCTCCTAGCATTTTTGAACTATCACTTCGAGACAAGCATTTTCACCTATGCGCGTGAATACTTTCACATGATACCCATTATAGTTTGACGTGACAAAAAATACAGCCATGCCTGCTTGCTTATCAGAGTTTGGACCAACTCAAAAAATTTAGAGAGAGAAAATAATGTACTTATGTTTTTTGATTCGATGCAAAGTGTGATACAGACGTATTGGCTTTGAGGATATTTGTTAGTCGCGAGAAATGTGTGGGCGGGTTTACATACTTTCTTTAAGCCAATTGTCAATTGAAAATAAAACGTGAAACATTTTCGAGATTTACTTTGGAAGTACGGGAGGCATGTGAACGTCCTCAGCCATAGACCCGTTTCGAAAGATCTGCTGTCGTGAATTCCATCAACGAATGCTATTTCGCTTAGTTAAAACAAGAACCAATCTAATGATCATCACTATTTCCTAGTACACCGAACACTGCTTATCGCTTATAATGCAGAGCCAGTAGATTTAGTCCGGTCGGAAAGCCGCCGTTTGAACAAAGAATAACATGAACCGGCCTACTGGTACGCTTCTGGTTTTATACAATGCCAGTGCAAAATGAACGATGTACGCCTCGAATAATTATAATAATCGTTCTTATTATCATGATACTAACATTAATAGTATTACATAAAGTACGCGACAACGCCGTGCCGCGACAGCACACTTGTCGGTGCTATTTTACAGTGTAACTTTTACTGCGGTCGCGTCGTCTATTATCTAACAAACTGTATTTCATTTTCAACTATTTTGAAACAGCTACTTAGAATCACAGGCCTAATTCCCATAACTTGCAGTAGTAAGCCTAAGTTGTTAGAATTTACGATGACTCAATCGAAAGTATCATGATAATTTTGATCACCTCTGTATCTGCACTCACTTGCCAATCGATGTGTTAATATACCAATATATGAGGGTCTGTTTAGCCAGTGGTATTAATTTGCGAATCGGTACTTGAGTGCCCAATAGGCCTAAGCAAGTTCTTGTAAGAAATCATAGCGTTAACGATTCATTATTAGTGTTAGTTATATCGTGTACAATAGATATCGCTTGCTCAATTTGTTACAAATGACCTTCTACCGTTATATGGACGATTGATTATAGAAGCAAACAGAGTTTACTCGAAGAACAAGGGGACCGAGCTGCCTAAATCTTGTCGGTACGGCTGAGTAACGTTACACTTAACTTCGTCCCAATAAACAACCATTCCATTGCGACTATCCATGGAGTAGATTGGTTTCGTGCGATAGCCTTGCCCCTGTTTACGATAGCTTTTTTGATTTTGAAGATTTCGCTGGCAATATACACAACGTAGCAAAAGCGACAAGTTTAAGCGAATCTAGTAGGACTCGACATGTTATCATTTAATGGTTATGGCTATATACAGCCAAAATTAACATGTTAGCGTCTTGCACACCTTGGGCTCCGAGTATAAGGCGGACGTTGCGATTTTGTCAAACAACTCGAATTACTGTGACATAGCTATTATATGACGATACAGTATGACATGTTACCAATGCCCCGCATACGATAGAATTCGCCATCGCATTGCCTTTGTAGAAGTTGCCTTTTAAAACTATTAAAAAGTGTACGACCTTTTTTTTTTATGATACAATGATGTTTATTTTTGGCCTTACATCGTGTTGACTATGGAAAATTACGCCCACGCATTAGCAGGCCCGCATCCAACCAATAATTACTAAAGGAGCCGAAACAGCATAATCTTTACTTTATTGTTATTTAACGCCGCTAACGGCCCGCCAAAAACAACTTACTCAATTGATTTTTCCTTCGTTGAGGCTCGCTGACCTTCTGTAATAGGTGTGTCGTCTTCTCGACCTGTCGAAAGGCTATGGTAATTCTAAACTGTGTGTCCACGATTAAACGATTTATTGTAATACACTGCAACTTCAAATTCCAATTGCACGCCAACACAGACACATACGAAGCTGTTTTCGGTTTTTTTTGTGTACTCGGAACACGATTTCTGTACCCGGTTGGATTTCGTCTGAAGTCCAGTATTTTCAAGTAAAATGCCGTGCTTCGAAAAAAAAACTTCGATTGAGCCACACGTTATATCTGTCGTAAAAAAACACCGGTTAATTAGGTGTACAACTGTCTCGTCAAGCTATATTATAACTGTACCATGTACCTATATAATCCAATAGTAGCTATTCATCGAGAGACATCGATCACCATTTTGACAGTTCAAGCTTTCCAAGAAAAATATCCCATTCTGATGTTATATCGTTCTGGCTTGCAGGATTATTTCTTAATACAGTCACAAGCTAACGACAGGTTCACCAATGCTTTCTGACAGACCCATTCATCACTGTTGTACTGCTTCCTATTACTTGTGAGCTCCGGATCAAATCCTCTGAGTGGCAAGTATTATTGTACTTCACTTTCCGCACTCTCCGAACAGTTCGACATTCTGCGGAGACACAGTACCCATTTTAGGGTCACCATTACCACCATCATCACCAGCAACGATAACAGGGCCCAAGCTCACATCAGCACCCGTTGCCGGCTTCGCCTTTTTTTTATTAAATCCTAACAGATTTCAGTGTTTACGAGACACATCCGAGTATTCACGTAAACACCACTCACACCACATAGTCGGTCTGCACTTGACTTCGACGCGTTTTAGTTCGTGTTCACCATGCAAGAATACAATTGTCGTTTACTTCTCCACAGCGGACTGTCGCTCTACTTCATAGTCTAATAATCCACTATTGTGTGTTAGCCAAAGCCCGCCCTCGGCGTCTTTAGCGCTTGAAGCAGGTCCTTGTCGATTGGCTAGAACGACCATCCGCTAGTTTTACATGTTAATACGGCTGTTGTTTGTGGACTAGCCTACTGTGTTTGGACTTCTGGTTCGTTCGCGAACCGCTTTGCCGTAGAAGCACTGCGACGTTTACTTCTGCCTCAAACGGCCGCTTCTGATGCTTGCGTCTCCGCCAGACCCTTCTTGGTATTGGCGATGATGTCCGCTTGTGCTGCTGCTCGTTCGTTACACTTCTACGAGCAGTTCCACGGCAATAGCAGGAGAGCCTACGGAGCAGGTATGGCACCGCAGCTTAACTTTGACTTCGCATAACAACAACAGCCGCGGACTAGCAGTATTAATTGTGTGAGCGGTGGCTGCTGCTGAAGCTGTTCATCGGCCTTCTGGTAGCAAATTACCGTTTGCTCTTCAAGGTTTGCTCGGCAATGGCCGTGCTGTTGGATAGTTCCCTGCGGCGATGTGTCGGTGACGGGCATTCGTAGGGGGCAGATACGACGAGCGGCAACTCTGCCACCATTACTAGCACGTTGACGTTGAAGTCAACGATCATCATCAGCGTCATTGCCGTCGATGCCGTTGTAATTGGTGGTACGTAATCTGCGTCCCGTGACCTTGGCACTGAGAAGGACTAAAGGGAAGGGTGACACAGAGAGGGCCTACGGTAGTAGCTTATGTTACTATAAGAATAAGGCTTTAGCTGTTACTGCTGCTAGCGAGCTGGGACATGGTAAATAATAACAATGGAAAGATCAGACAGCAGCAGCTGTATCTATAGTCAAAAGAGTTACAACGTCCCAACATTTGGTGAGGGATATGGTTTTGCCGATACTGTAAAGAATATGGGCACCCAATACGATTGACTAGTTGATCTACTCCGGTATCAGATTGGTGCAATTTAGCATAACGCAGGACAAAAAGTCACTGTCTTTTCTAGAGAAATGTTTGCAGAGAAGAACTGCGGATCAACGAAATACTATAGGGGACAGGCAACGCGTGACTGACGGATACCTAGACCGCGGCTAGTTGCAAAATTGAGAGAAAAGCTATTTTCCAAATCAAGGTAGTAGATATTTTTGGACACTTTGGATGACCTGGCTTCCTACAGGAAAAGCGTCAAACAAATGATTTTGCTATAGTTTATTGAGCTAAAACGGAGACCCAATCATATTGATGATATCGCAAATATACGAAATCACATAGATAATCATTAACACCACATAAAGTCTGGTAACTGACATCCAATTTACAGTACAATCCAGCAAGAAGCACTAATTTGTAGGAGAGTCGAGACAAGTTTTGGAAAAAGGAGGTTGCAGTAGGGAGGATATGTCCGGCGCATTAAATACAATTACTAGGAAAGCTCCAAAAAATAACGCGGAACTCCTATTTGGTTACCTCGACTGATGATCCTGGTAGAACAGTCATAACCGATGTACCGATACGAGCCTTTCTGATCGGCCGAGTAAGGCCAGTCTGAACCAAAATTAGTAGAAACCACTCCGAAAGTTTCAAACCTGCGGCCAGACTTATTATAGCTTCTACTCAACTTGGTTTCAGCAAACGTGACCCGTTTCACAAAGTTTCTCCGGTAACGGTCTGGTGACAAGCGTCTTATATCGCTATTCTGTGTCAAGCGAGGTTGCTGCTTAGAAGATAGCTAACTTGAGTGGATAACGTTAAATTGGTTTGGAACAGCTCGTAAGTCTGTCCGGGGAAAACATTCAAGCTGATTTAGGAAAGCCCAGCGATGGATGTTTACGGCTGACGACATCGCGAGCTAGTGACGACAACATCTTATTATAGCAAACAACGACCAAATGCTTGACAGTACGTTCTGAAATTGGGCTGCACATGCCGAATAGTAAAACGCTACCTGGACGGACGATCAAGGAAAGAAAGGATCCGATCTGGGGAATGCTCTCTTACCCCAAGCTTAGTTCAGTTTGATTCGCGGTTTGATAGAACACGTTTATGTATAATGCGTTGTCCTTTAAAATGCTGCCTCTGTTAATATTCATAAAGGTAATAAATGCAATCCTTTAATAAAAAAAAACGCCACTAACTATCGCAGATCTTTTCCAGGGCGGTAACATTTACTCAAAAATACCTAAAGCAGCTAAATAAATCCTTGATTTATTTAGTATTGATTCCACTGCTTGCCATTTGTATTTTTCAAATACAAATTTATATAGAATCCCTGAAAAAAAACATACATATTTTTGTATTCAAATCATGCAACGGCCAGTTGTACCGTCTTCCAGAACCGGCCGTATATATATATATATATATATATGCAGGATTAAGCCAAACACAAACAAGCAGCCGTAGGAACTATAGCTTTATGATAGAAAGAAACGTGAGTGAAATGCTTTGCGTTTTTCGGTCCTCCCGTTAATTTTTATTTTGTACAAGTTCTCATGGCCGGAAGTGAATGTAATAGCATGGTAAGAGCATTCGATTATCATTTAACCCACTGACACTTCCTGTACGTCAATTCCAATAATGCTCAATCAAAATAACCAATTTTCGATGGTCTTTTGATGGCATGAAGCTCGATGACGATGTGATAGCGTTTGATTATGTAAACCTTAAAAAGAAATTAAAAAAAAACAGTAAAGTTGACCGTTTGCGGTAGGTTTGGTGGACGGGGATACTCAAAAACATTTAACAATATTAACGTGTTTCAGAGCTTTCTAAGCGTCAGTTCGTGTTCGGTATCAACAAAATGAAGCAGATATTATTACTATTAGTGCTGTTCCATACCTGCGGCTTTTACTAAATGAGCTTCTGTATTTAGTGGTCTACTTAATGCCATTTATACAAGCACGTAGAAGGCAGCACGATCAGTCCGAAAGGCTTTTGTGGGTGATCTTTGAACTCATTCAACTTTTTCTGTGTCTATACGAATAATCGTTATAACTGTTTACGTGGCAAGACTGAAACAATATTTATATTTCTCATAACTGGGTAAGGTATCTACCAGCTTTTAGACTAGCGTCTGCCCGAAGGAACAGAGTAAACAGGAGATTAACATTAAAAAAAAAAAAAAAAAAAGGCACATATATAAGGAGAGTATATATAATAAACACACAGTATAGATTTCTGAACTTCTGTAGACAAGTTAGTTTTCGATAAAGTATAAGGCAGATTTTTGTTATGTTGTCATTGCAAATATGTGAAGCAAACACCTGATAGTATTCGTTGTACCGCCTAGCCTCTATATCATAATTCGAAGGTCGCCTAGTTGTTTTGAATTTCCGATCGATCCATTATGGTGTTCTAGGGCCAACGATCCCTCCAGCCAGTCCAGTCATTGTGTCTGTTTAACACGAGATAACATCCAATTGTTCCACAGGTTTATGCTTCTTACCGCACAATTTGCATGAGCTGAGATTTGTTTAGCAGTCGCATATCAAACGCAACGCAAATTAAGAATATATCCAAATAAGACGACCTGTCTACAAACCTTCTTTTAGGCCACATTGGAAATTCTGTCAGACGAAACGGTTTACATAGCTAATCACGTATTATTATTTTGAGCGTTGTTTATTGCTTTTTGAAGGCGTTACAGTTATGTTGTCATTCATTATTCCAAATACTGCAACCAGTTAGTATTATAAACAACAAACCGCTTATATGTCAAGCTATTTATTACACTCTGAAGCCCTCTGAATGACCTCAGCAGAGGCGTTAGTTCCTTCGGTCATTATTTTCTTTTTATTGTTGCTATAGGCCATAGACTACCGAAGGAACCGCTATATCCCTCAATATAATAGCGCAGCGGGAAAACTTTCTAACAGCAGTCCATGATGACGATGAGAACCGTAATGCAGTTTTATGTGTCTCCTATGTCCTGTCAACTATTCTTATTGTTTCACCTACTGATTCTCCCAACGCAAAGTACCAGTTCACCTATTAATCACTACATACATATATAATAATCGCACGTTAACGACGGGTTATTATATTTACATAACGATTGATAGTGAAAAAGTCTTTTTTATATTAATATAAGTTTCAAGCAAGACTGTCGACCTTTTCAGCGGTTCGGTCACATTATCGCCAGCTGACTCTATTTTTTTTGGAGAGAAAATCGCAGAAACTTATCAAATAGCGGACAACACAGGTTCATCTTTACCTGACCATTTTTCTCCACCTGATAGCGTGATCTCACGTTTTTACCAAGTAAAATATACCTCGTTGTTCGTTTGCATGTCCCATTAGTTTGTGTGTGTTCATCCTTACATTAGTATTCTACATTTGAATATACTACGTTACTTCCCTAACTTACCCCCCACCCTAATATGAAAATCGCCGTGTAAGTCCACGTACGTTAACATAACTTAAAAGTTCTCTGGAGAGCTTTGCTAGAGGCTAACTTGCGGTAGCACGAAAATCTCTGGCAGACACAGGCATCTGTATGCATCGTTTAGTTCTATTGGCTCTCACTGGTTCAGGCAGTAGCGTTGTTGTTGTTGTTGTTGTTATTGTTGGTCGGCCCGCTTCAACGTTGCTGAGTTCACTCGAATAAAATAGAATAATAAACACTTGAAATAGGTTCGTTCAGCCAGACGACAGCGACCCAGTAGCAAAACAACAAGCAGACGATAAGAGGCGCATAAATAGTTTAGAACTCATCTGGAAATACTGGTTTCTGCTTTCGTTGATGTTGATGATAATGACGACTATGATGGCGTTCATACAGTCGATCAGAACAGTGATCTTAACCGATCCATTAGCGTTTCCCTATCTTGCAGCTCTATTGTTACCGACGTACCTCCGAAATACCCGATATCTAGTTAACGTCTCAGATCCATTCTCAATGTTATTTTAGCATATGCAGCGGTGAAGACAGTATGTTGGCGAAGTGTTGATAGCTTCAGTATTATAGCAGAAGTTGCTATAATAACAATTGAAACAACAGTAACAGGAACTGTAGTAGTAACAGTGTCATATCATCCTATAGTGTTATGATGGGATTATATGCCCGACACGTATCGCCTAGCAGTGTACCCTAGGCAGCGCCGGTATTCCCACTCTTTTAGCTCATCGGCAAACTGGCTAGTGCCTATTCCTATTAGTGATCGATTTAGCGTAGAAAAGTCCTGATTCATACAGATGCCGGTAACTCCCATTGCTGTGTTGTACTAGTCAATCAAGAACGTGTTTAGTTTAGTTGGATCTGATCTACGCGAAGCTCGCGAGCTTCAGTGTATGCGTAGCTTTGCGCTCGGTTATTATGCATATGTATATAAGGGAAAGTGACCGGATGGCTCAAGCAGTAAATACGTAGCAATATTTCAATGCGCCTTATGCAGCGATGAGGTTCTGTATCCTCGGGATGGCTCACCACAATGAACCAGTTACTTAATCGTCCGTTCACACTGACGGTGTAATATAAGTGTGAAGAATCCGGTCGTAGAAGTAAGAGTTTTCATACGTATTATCAACTGTTCAATATTTACGCATCCAGCACTGGTGCAGACGCGCGACAGTAGACGCTTTGTGGTTGACAATAACTATGAGCGCTCATTTTCCTCTTAGGATTAGACTATAGGGCGGTCTTTCCCTGATTCAACATAATTTCTGTTATGGAATTTACAGAAATTCTGTTTTACCCCCTTGTCAAGAACTATCGCTGTCTTATTTATCTTGAGTG